GAGCCCCCAAATCCCTCCTGGACCCTCCAAAATCCCCCCCACTTCCCCCCAGGATCCCCAAATCCCCCCCAAATTCCACCCCACAGACCCCACCCCCATCGACCAGACCCACTGACCACACCCACCCAAATCACACCCATTGGCCACACCCATTGACCACACCCACCCAAATCACACCCATTGGCCACACCCACTGACCACACCCACCCAAATCACACCCACTGACCACACCCATTGACCACACCCACTGACCCCACCCACTGACCCCACCCACCCAAATAACCACTGACCACACTCACTGACCACACCCTCATTGACCACACCCACTGACCACACCCACCCAAATCACACCCCCATTGACCACACCCATTGACCACACCCACTGACCACACCCTCATTAACCACACCCACCCAAATCACACCCCCATTGACCACACCCACCCAAATCACACCCATTGACCACACCCATTGACCACACCCACTGACCACACCCACCCAAATCACACCCACTGACCACACCCAGTGACCACACCCCCATTGACCACACCCATCGATTACACCCTCATTGACCACACCCACCCAAATCACACCCATTGACCACACCCACTGACCACACCCACCCAAATCACACCCACTGACCACACCCACTGACCACACCCACCCAAATCACACCCATTGACCACACCCACTGACCACACCCCCATTGACCACACCCATTGACCACACCCACCCAAATCACACCCATTGACCACACCCATCGACCACACCCATTGACCACACCCACTGACCACACCCACCCAAATCACACCCACTGACCACACCCACTGACCACACCCACCCAAATCACACCCATTGACCACACCCATCGACCACACCCATTGACCACACCCATTGACCACACCCACCCAAATCACACCCACTGACCACACCCCCACTGGCCACACCCACCCAAATCACACCCACTGACCACACCCATTGACCACACCCACCCAAATCACACCCACTGACCACTCCCATTGACCACACCCACCGACCACGCCCCTTAGCCCCGCCCCCTCACCTGCAGCACGAAGGCCCCGCAGTCGCTGTCGTTGTTCTGCCGGGCCACGTTCTGGGGGGGGAGGGGAGGGATTTTGGGGGGTCTGGGGGGTCTGCAGGGTCCCAGGGGGTTTTGGGGGCCAAGGGGGTTTGGGGTCCCAGAGGGTTTTTGGGGTCCTAGAGGGGTTTTTGGGGTCCCAGAGAGATTTTTGGGGTCTTGGGGGGGTATTTTGGGGATCCAGGGGGGGTTTGGGGGTCCCAGAGAGGTTTTTTGGGGGTCCTGAAGTGGTTTTAGGGGGTCCCAAGTTGCTTTTTGGGGGTCCCAAGTTGCTTTTTGGGGTCCTGGGGGGGTATTTTGGGGATCCTGAGGTGGTTTTTCGTGGTCCCAGGGGGGTTTTTGGGGGTCCCGAGCTGGTTTTTGGGGGTCCCAAGGCAGTTTTTGGGGTTCCAGGGGGGTTTTTGGGGGTCCCGAGGTGGTTTTGGGGGTCCCGAGCTGGTTTTTGGGGGTCCCAAAGTGGTTTTCGGGGGGTCTCTCACCATTTTGAAGGCCCCCCTCCAGCCCTCCCGGAAGTCCGGCCGCTCCTTCTTGTCGGCCTCGGCCTGGAGGTAGCGGCAGATGTGCTGGGGGGAGGGGCAAGGGGCGTGGTCAGATGAAGGGGCGTGGTCAGGGAGGCCACGCCCACACCATCAAACCACGCCCACACGCAAAGGACACGCCCCCAGGGTGGAAAAAGCCACGCCCCTTCAAGGCTCGTCCTCATTAAACCCCGGGGAGGGTTAATGATGTGGGAGGCCACGCCCACCTGGGCCAGGTCAAGCCACACCCACTTAAGCCACGCCCACCGGAATCAGGTCACGCCCACCCAGGTCAAAGTCACACCCAGTGGGATCATGCCACGCCCACTTAGTCAAGCCACGCCCACCTGATCAAGCCACGCCCACCCAGTTAGTCCACACCCATCCGGGTCAAGCCACACCCACTTAAGCCACACCCATCAGATCAAGCCATGCCCACTCGGGTCAAGCCACACCCACTCAAGCCACGCCCACCCTGATCAAGCCACACCCATCAAATCAATTTACTCCCCCCCATCAAGCCACGCCCACCCAGGTCAAAGCCACACCCACTTAAACCACACCCACCCTGATCAAGCCACGCCCATCAGATCAATTTACACCCCCCCAATCAAGCCACACCCTCCCTGATCAAGCCACACCTACTTAAACCACACCCACCAGATCAAACCACGCCCATGAGATCAATTTACACCCCCAATCAAGCCACACCCACTTAAGCCACACCCACCCTGACCAAGCCACGCCCATCAGAATAATTTACATCCCCCAATCAAGCCACGCCCACTTAAACCACACCCACCCAGATCAAGCCACGCCCATCAGCTCAATTTACACTCCCCCCAATCAAGCCACACCCTGACGGCTCAGGCCACACCCACAGAGCCAACCACCCCACCCACCCTTTTTGGACCCCGCCCCCCATCTTTAAGCCCCGCCCCCACCTTTAGGCCCCGCCCCCCCGCCCCCAGGCCCCGCCCACCTTGGGGCAGCGTCGGTTGAGGGTGCGCTGGGAGTCGAAGTAGGTGATCGTGCGCCGCGCCACGTCCACGGCCACCAGCGACCAGTGCACCTCCAGGTGGATGGGGATCAGCAGCAGCTCCTTCCCAAAAATGTCCACCTGCACGGGGAAAGGGGGGCGTGGCTGGGAGGGACACGCCCAGACGGAGAGGGACACGCCCACCACAGAGAGGGACACGCCCACACAGAGAGGGACACGCCCACACAGAGAGGGACACGCCCGCCCAGAGAGGGACACGCCCACACGGAGAGGGACACGCCCACACGGAGAGGGACACGCCCACACAGAGAGGGACACGCCCACCCAGAGAGGGACACGCCCACACGGAGAGGGACACGCCCACCCGGAGAGGGACACGCCCACCCGGAGAGGGACACACCCACCCAGAGAGGGACACGCCCACATTTGAGGAAAAAAAAAACACCCCCAAAATGCTCCAAAGTTACCCCCAAAGGTGGGGGTGGGGGGGAAGGAGCCCCACAGGCCACGCCCTCTTTCTGTAGGAAGCCACGCCCCTCCTTTAGGAAGCCTTGCCCAATCCTTTAGGAAGCCACACCCACAAGGTAAGCCACGCCCCCTCCCTTAGGAAGCCATGCCCCCTTCTGTAGGAAGCCACACCCCCTCCTTTAGGAAGCCACGCCCAATATTTTAAGAAGCCACGCCCCCCTCCTTTAGGAAGCCACACCCCCTCCTTTAGGAAGCCACACCCCCTTCTGTAGGAAGCCACGCCCCCTCCTTTAGGAAGAGATACTCCCTCCTTCAGGAAGCCACGCCCCCTCCTGTAGGAAACCACACCCCCTCCTTTAGGAAGCCACGCCCACAATGCAAGCCACGCCCCCTCCCTTAGGAAGCCACGCCCCCTCCTTTAGGAAGCCACACCCACAACACAAGCCACGCCCCTCAACTCTACTGCTACACCCATCCCCCTTGGCCACACCCACTCCACTCCTCACTCCTAAACTGGTTATGGAACCCCTCCCACCTAATTAACATACTCGGGGCCACGCCCACTGGCACAGACCCCACCCACTTTTAGGTCATGCCCACCCCTGACCCCACCCATTCACTCCCAAATGATGCTCCCTTTTGGGCCTCGCCCCCTCACTAAAACCCCACCCCCTCATTAGCATAGCCCTGGCCACGCCCCCTCAGCCCTGCCACTTAATTAGCATAGACACAGCCACGCCCCCTCATTAGCATAGCCCTGGCCCCCGCCCCCTCACGTTCTTGGTCCATCTCTGCACGCCCTCATTAGCATATCCCTGGCCACACCCCCTCATTAGCATAGGCCTGGCCCCGCCCCTCATTAGTATAGCCCTGGCCCCGCCCCTCACGTTCTTGGTCCATCTCTGCATGCCGTCGTAGCCCCATCCCCTCATTAGCATAGCCCTGACCATGCCCCCTCATTAGCATAGCCCGCCCTCACGCTCTTGGTCCATCTCTGCACGCCTCGTAGCCCCGCCCCCTCATTAGCATAGCCCTGGCCACACCCCCTCATTAGCATATCCCTGACCACGCCCCCTCACATTTTTGGTCCATCTCTGCACGCCCTCATTAGCATAGCCCTGGCCACGCCCCCTCATTAGCATACCCCTGACCACGCCCCCTCATTAGCATACCCCCGCCCCTCACATTTTTGGTCCATCCCTGCCCCCTCATTAGCATATCCCTGGCCCCGCCCCTCACATTTTTGGTCCATCTCTGCACACCCTCATTGGCGTAGCCCCACCCCCTCATTAGCATATCCCTGGCCCCGCCCCTCACATTCTTGGTCCATCTCTGCACGCCCTCGTAGCCGCGGGTCCTCAGTTTGTCGTAGAAGAAGCTGTTGAAGAAGTGCACCTGGGGGGGGAGGGGACACCAGTGTCACCAGTGCCGTCCCAGTATCACCAGTGCCATCCCAGTGCCATCCCAGTTCCATCCCAGTGCTGTCCCAGTACCATCCCAGTGTCACCAGTCCCATCCCACTACCATCCCAGTGTCATCCCAGTGTCACCAGTACCGTCCCAGTCCCGTCCCAGTGTCACCAGTCCTGTCCCGGTGTCACCAGTCACATCCCACTGTCACCAGTACCGTCCCAGTGTCACCAGTGCCGTCCCAGTGTCACCAGTGCCGTCCCGGTGTCACCAGTGCCGTCCCGGTGTCATCCCAGTATCACCAGTGCCGTCCCAGTGTCACCAGCGTCATCCCAGTGCCGTCCCAGTGTCACCAGCGTCATCCCAGTGCCGTCCCAGTGTCACCAGTCCCGTCACAGTGCCGTCCCAGTGTCCCCAGTCACATCCCAGTGTCACCAGTGCCATCCCAGTATCACCAGTCCCGTCCCAGTGCCGTCCCAGTTCCATCCCAGTGTCACCAGTGCCGTCCCAGTGCCATCCCAGTGTCACCAGTGCTGTCCCAGTTCCGTCCCAGTATCACCAGTGCCACCCCAGTGTCATCCCAGTGTCACCAGTCCCGTCCCAGTGTCACCAGTCCTGTCCCAGTCCCGTCCCAGTATCACCAGTCCTATCCCAGTCCTGTCCCAGTGTCACCAGTCCCGTCCCAGTGCCACCAGTCCTGTCCCAGTTCCATCCCAGTGTCACCAGTCCCATCCCAGTACCGCCCCAGTCCCGTCCCAGTGCCATCCCAGTGCCACCAGTCCTGTCCCAGTTCCATCCCAGTGTCACCAGTCCCGTCCCAGTCCCGTCCCAGTGCCGTCCCAGTTCCATCCCAGTGTCACCAGTCCCGTCCCAGTATCACCAGTCCTGTCCCAGTTCCATCCCAGTGCCACCAGTCCCGTCCCAGTTCCCTCCCAGTGTCCCCAGTTCCCTCCCAGTGTCCCCCAGTTCCCTCCCAGTTCCCTCCCAGTTCCCACCTTGTCGGGCACCGCGTCCATCACGAGGTCCCCGTACATGTTCATCACCTGGGGGGGGGGAAAAAGGGGTCAGGGACCCCAAAAACCCACCTGGGACCCCCCAAAACCCCCCCAGGACCCCCCAAATTCCCTCCGGGACCCCCAAAATCCCTCAGGACCCCCCCAGACCTCATCATTGAGCCAGTTGGGGTCTTGAAGGGTCTGCAGATCGTCCATGGGGTACCCTCTGTGACCCCTCAACCCCCTTTGGGACCCCTCAAACCCCTCTGGGACCCCTTTGGGACCCCTCAAACCCCTCTGGGACCCCTCAAACCCCTCCAAACCCCCCCAGGGACCCCCAAACTGCCTCAAGGACCCTCAGGGACCCCCCAAAAACCATCAAAGACCCCACAAAAACCATCAAAGACCCCCCCAAAGCCCCCCAGACCTGGTCATTGAGCCAGTTGGGGCCGTAGAGGGTCTGCAGGTCCTCCATGAGGAACCCTTTGGGACCCCTCAAACCCCTCTGGGACCCTTTTGGGACCCCTCAAACCCCTCTGGGACCCCTCAAACCCCTCCAAATCCCCTCAGGGACCCCCCCAAGCCCCCCCAGACCTGGTCATTGAGCCAGTTGGGGCCGTAGAGGGTCTGCAGGTCCTGCCTTTGTGATCCCTCAAACCCCTCTGTGACCCCCCAAACCCCTCTGGGACCCCTCAAATCCCCTCAGGGACCCCCA